TTTATTATAAATGGATCTCTATAAAAAATATTAAAAATCATATTGACTTACCAGGTAAATAAGTTAATGGTAGAGCTAAAATGTTTAGTGTACTTAGATTTCATTAATAAAAAAAACCCTTCTTTGTCAATAATTGTGATTTGTTAAACGTATGTATTACTTTAACATAACTACAATTTTTTTTAACACATTTGGCGAGATATTTAATTTATATAAAACCTTATTCATAGTATATACACATCGATATCAAATTTATTTTTATTTTTGAACAGTTTATGTTTACGCATTTATAATAGTAAGTACTTATAATTACTTATATGTACCTACCTATATAACACAGTAAAAGTGAATAATTTAAACTACTAATGTTACGATTTTTGTGTTTAATAAGAAAGGTTATTACCTATTCAATAATATTTAATAATGCGCTTTTATACTTAAATAAAAGCTTATAAGTTATAATTTACTTCCACTTAATATACCTGATAGTTAAATTAACAGAATCAACACGCAAAATCTATGTGTATCTTTTTATTTTCTAAAAAAATGCTATATATTACATTTGCTGTTTTTGCTTTCTGTCACTCATCGTTCTGTCTGCAGTAATGAATCGCGGTAAAAAAGTCCGAAGTAAAAAAGTCCTAGGAAAAAAAGTACGGGTAAAAAAGTCCGAGGCATAAAAAGTCCGCCGTCAATAAGTCCTAAGCCAAAAAAGTCCGGTGAATATTATATTATATAGTATATACATAACAATATTTATATTCAATGATTATAATTATGTACTTAGTATAATAACATAAAATATACATAATATATCAATTAATTAATTAAATTGAGTACCTATTAACTATATCGTCATAATATAAAATATTATACAAAAAAAAATTCAATGATTATAATATTATGTAGTTAGTATCATAACCTAATAATGTATGTTGAAGGGTATATGCATAACCACCCACAACTATTTTGGTGCCTTTTTCGTTGATTTGTATGATTTCTGACATTTCTGACATTTTTTCAGGCACTTACGGAATGTCGAACTATACTAACAAAACGTCGAACTATACTGACAAAAATCACAACTGTTCAGTTACCTATGTACGATATGTAGTTACACGGTGGAGTATGTCCACCACCTATAGATAATACATAACTCTATCTATATTAACTAGGTATATCGGATGTATATCAGATATAGGTACGAGTAAAACTCGACAAACCAGATAATTAAGATAAAAGAAATAGTATTTGATTATTACACGCAACTAAAAGTCAAGCAGTGTTCAAAGTCCAAAAAGTAGTTATTGGTACATACGAGATTATTTATTAATTTTGTGCGCGTCGCCGGGCGGCATTTTTCTCCGGGCAAGTCACGATTAGGTTAGATACCCGTCTGCAATCCACCGTAGCCCGTAGGTAGATTACTTACCTGATATACTGTTGCATACTGTCCACAATCCAATTCGTATTATTGTATTTTGAAAAATCGGAAAAAAAATGCGTACCTAATAGGCATTTAAGAATTTTAATTTTAATATACATAGTTATTTGAAAAAGTGGCCTAACGGGAAAACTCCCGCGAATTCCCGGTGGTCCAATCCGTCAATGGTTATATCCCTCGAATATTTTTGGGCCTTTTTTCGAGTAGGCATCGAGTACCTATGAGTTTCGTATTATGGTTGGTACCATAAATGCGCCGGTTATGCTAAAGTAATTTTACTCTTATTGTGGACTGTAGATTATAATAATAAATAACAATTGAGTCACGATTTAACTTGATTTTTCTAGATATTACGTTTACAATATTATGCGAGGTCTTACGCAGTGTAGGTACACCAATAATAACGAAGACCTCGAGACTACGACGACGACTAAAAAGTAAAAACTATTACTACAAATCATGACATTTTCACTGGTTGTTTATATTAGCATCTTTTGCTATACACGATAACATTTTCAAAATATTTTAACTTGGTTTTTTAGGTCCACTTTTTTAGGTATTTTCTCTATAGATGACAATGAAATTAGTTTCGTTGGGTCAAAAAGCTTTAAAATGCAATACAAGATTCCTCATAAGTTTGTCTACCTTAATCAAAAAAAGAAATGTCTACAAGCAAATCAAATAAAATTTTTTGAGCGTTTGAAGTTCAATTTTTGTGCAAGATTGAATATTCACTAGATTTCTCATGTAGCGATTTTGTTATTTTGATGTAATTTAAAATCGAATAACTTAATGAATTATTGTCATTCAGGATTTTACATAATTTATTATTATATAAGAGAACAGGCCTTTTTTATGTTCCAATTTTTTTTTTCACAGAGTTGTTCCAAATACCTTCCCCAGTGTCACCACGTCACCCGATTTTCTTATTTTATCGGTTTGGTAGGTACCGAAAATGGTTGAAAAATACCGAGTTCTTTTTTAATTCAAATATTTTGTAGTTTTGTACATTGCCAGTATTTACAGCCTTTCCAGTTTGTTTTGTACATATTATTATTTATTAATTGAAGACTCAAACATTTCATATCGTCATATATTATGGTATATTTATTTTAAAAAAGAGTAATTTGGTGGTGTGGGAGGCTTTGCCCCCCGCGGCTCTATTTTCTGAAATTAACTGGACCCTCTCCATGACAAATTCCTAAATACGGCACTGGAGAGATTTAAATTAGCTTTAAAAATATTAAAATATGTAAACAATTATGAAGGCGTATACTGTACAATGACTACGGAGGGGCGGCATTGCATATTATATTATAATTGTCGTGAATCCACTTTCAATGGCGCGTATAATACGCGGATTTTTCTCCCCGGCCACTCGCCGATAAGTGATAACATTATGATTGAAATTACTGTCGGGCGGCAGTTTCACTAAATCCGTCGACCGTCGACCGAACTATTAAAATAATATTGACATCGACATACCGACGATATAATATACGATAACACGATGTTACAATATAATATATTTCCAATTACTTATATACATTTTTATTTTTAGATAATTATAATTTATCTAGCGGTATCGGACTCTCATGTGACGAGCCGCCCCGGGTATTATTGGTCACAAAACGGCACAACGTCAACCAAGTGCAGTGTTTATTTACATATGTACGAATTATTGTTCATGCCTGTTGTACATGTTTCGTCTCGACGACAGATTTCGTACGGTGTGGCGGGGGATGGGGTAGTGGTAGCGGTAAGTGATAACATTGTTTCCGTGGTGCTACCATGTACTATTTGAAACGCATAAAATCTAAATATAGTACAAGACGTTTATTACGAACATTGTATTATTCTGTGTTACGAATTACGATGCTTTATATAAGTATATATAACGATACGTCGATGTCCCGTGTACAACGATTCCCAGCAATGTACTTGATTGGTTTTAAATCTCACGTGTAGTATGTTTAGTCATTCGGATATAACGATCTTATTTTCTTGGTTCCCTTAAAGGTCGTTAAGCGAATATTTTTATGAAATAACATGCGCAATCAACTAGGAAATCGACTATATGTCAAATATCTTAAAAAACTTGTGGCTTACTTACTAAGAGTCCTACTGATTACCAGTGTCGGCCTGGCACACCAAAGGCCCATGGATCAGTTTTTTAAGCGGCCCCATAGTGAAATACAAGATTTACCTGACATTTAGGTGAGAAAATGCTCACCAAATTTCTTCCTTTAAAAATACATTTATTGAAATTCTGATTTTTAGAACTTTTAAGTATACCTAAACACCATATACTCAAATTCCTGATATTCTTTGTATTACTATTAAAGAGTATCCTGTAGCTATACAAACTTCTATTTTTCAAATTAAAATTTCCTTTTTCAGTGCAAATTATTTAGCATAATATGATGTTATTGTAAATGTATATGTATCTAAATCAAAATTCTAATAAGTAGTTGCTGAATTAATAAAATGTGTAGGGTAATAATCCTTGGAATATGGTTTACAATAAAAAACTATAAGTACCTACCTAATAATAGATGTAGTACCTACCTATTCACTATTATCAGTATACCTACTTAATAATTTTTACAAATTATTTATCTTGATAGATCAATGGTAATTAGTACTAACAACTAACTACTAACATTTTCAAATCATCTAAGCCCCCAAATCTACTTAGCTAATTTCCATATTATCTAGACACGCGGTAGCGTGTCAAGCCAAGTTCTAGCTAACAGAACTGGCGAGCAGCACCGTGTGTTATATTACACGAACCATTTGGAGCCACTTTTGACCCCCTCATAACTCAAAAACTATTCCACATAAACATGTCAAATTTGGCTCATATATTGAGACTAACGAGATACATATATGTGCTCTAAATTTCATAAACACACTTCAAACCGTTATTTAGATATTAACGTCCGAAAATCGTCATTTTTATCACTGACTGACCTATAGATTATAGATCAAAATTCTAACCCAGTTCCAGATGACCTAGAAAGTTCAAATTTGGCATACAGATAGGTAGTTAGGTAAATACAAAGGAAAAAATCAGAAACTTGAAAATTTTTAATTTTTAATTTTTTAATTTTTAATTTTTTAATCAATTGATTTTATTATAATTTTGCAATTATTTTATCTATTATGTTTAATTTTTCAATTAATTAATGAATTGCTTCTAATTTAATGTAATGTAATGTAATGTTGACTTAAATAACCTTTCCCGTATCGCCACTCCAAAAATACGACTAGCCGAATATGTGTCGATATTGTCGACCCGCGCGCAGCAACATACTTTTTTTTGGGCGTCGCCCGTTACCGCACAAATGCGCAAAATACGTATGGGACAAAACCGCACACAGATTTTAAAATACTGAATATCCCATTTCCGCACACGTTTATTATGGACGATTATCGTCACTTATCGACAATTATCTATAACGACATTATTAAGCTTTATCTGTAAAAGATTGTATTCGCAGTGTACAAATTTGTAGTGTGTTTTTGGTCGTCTTTCGATCTTTGAATCATCAATATGTTTAAACTTTTTACTAATAACCGTGGTAATAGTTCTATTCATTTCGACAACTATAACTTTCGTTATTTTAGAACTAATAAAAGTTCAGGTGATATTGTTTGGCGGTGTGTGCAAAAAACATGTAATGTAACTATTATCACCAACAATGAAAAAACGGTTTTAATTCGCAGTAATATTAAAGATCACCAACACGACGAGGACAATGATGAACAAAAAAAAGAACTACAAAAAATTCGTACAGCTATTAAACGTAAAGCTATTGAAAATGTATATGAAAAGCCAATAAAAATAATTCGTAAAGAATTATCAAGTACTTATTGAAGGGAGCACATATAAACGAGGAAAATATTTACGCAGAACCGTATTTTTCAGGAAAATAATTATCTGGACTAAATTTTTGTAGGGAAAGATATTTCAAAAGAATGGTATAATAAAGGAATAATATTTTCAATGATAAATATATTCTTGGAATCGTGCACTAAGTACGGTTACCCCCAAAGCCCGGGAGCTCTTGAAATTTATCTCGACGGATAGTAAATTTTCCTGGCTTTTCGAATATCTATGTTAAGTCCTTCGACTCCTTCCGGAACACTGCCGGAAAAATCAAAAACCACGCGCGCGTATACGTTTCACGTCATGCCGGCATTAGTCACCTGGCACTTTCTCGCACTAAGTACGGTTACCCCCAAAGCCCGGGAGCTCTTGAAATTTATCTCGTCGGATAGTAAATTTTCCTGGCTTTCCGAATATCTATGTTAGGTCCTTCGACTCCTTCCGGAACACTGCCGGAAAAATCAAAAACCACGCGCGCGTATACGTTTCACGTCATACCGGCATTAGTCACCTGGCACTTTCGTGCACTAAGTACGTTTACTTAAAAAGTCAGGGAGCTCTTGAAATTTATCTCGTCGGATAGTAAATTTTCCTGGCTTTCCGAATTTCTATGTTAGGTCCTTCGACTCCTTCCGGAACACTGCCGGAAAAATCGAAAACCACGCGCGCGTATACGTTTCGCGCCCTACCGGCATTGTTCACCAGACGCGCGTATACGTTTCACGTCATGCCGGCATTAGTCACCTGGCACTTTCGTGCACTATGTACGGTTACTTAAAAAGTCAGGGAGCTCTTGAAATTTATCTCGTCGGATAGTAAATTTTCCTGGCTTTCCGAATATCTATGTTAGGTCCTTCGACTCCTTCCGGAACACTGCCGGAAAAATCAAAAACCACGCGATTGTATACGTTTCACGTCATGCCGGCATTAGTCACCTGGCACATTCGTGCACTAAGTACGTTTACTTAAAAAGTCAGGGAGCTCTTGAAATTTATCTCGTCGGATAGTAAATTTTCCTGGCTTTCCGAATATCTATGTTAGGTCCTTCGACTCCTTCCGGAACACTGCCGGAAAAATCAAAAACCACTTGATTGTATACGTTTCGCGTCATACCGGCATTAGTCACCTGGCACTTTCGTGCACTAAGTACGGTTACCCCCAAAGCCCGGGAGCTCTTGAAATTTATCTCGTCGGATAGTAAATTTTCCTGGCTTTCCGAATTTCTTTTTTAGGTCCTTCGACTCCTTCCGGAACACTGCCGGAAAAATCAAAAACCACTTGATTGTATACGTTTCGCGTCATACCGGCATTAGTCACCTGGCACTTTCGTGCACTAAGTACGGTTACCCCCAAAGCCCGGGAGCTCTTGAAATTTATCTCGTCGGATAGTAAATTTTCCTGGCTTTCCGAATTTCTTTTTTAGGTCCTTCGACTCCTTCCGGAACACTGCCGGAAAAATCGAAAACCACGCGCGCGTATACGTTTCGCGCCCTACCGGCATTGTTCACCAGACGCGCGTATACGTTTCACGTCATGCCGCCATTAGTCACCTGGCACTTTCGTGCACTATGTACGGTTACTTAAAAAGTCAGGGAGCTCTTGAAATTTATCTCGTCGGATAGTAAATTTTCCTGGCTTTCCGAATATCTATGTTAGGTCCTTCGACTCCTTCCGGAACACTGCCGGAAAAATCAAAAACCACGCGATTGTATACGTTTCGCGTCATACCGGCATTAGTCACCTGGCACATTCGTGCACTAAGTACGTTTACTTAAAAAGTCAGGGAGCTCTTGAAATTTATCTCGTCGGATAGTAAATTTTCCTGGCTTTCCGAATATCTATGTTAGGTCCTTCGACTCCTTCCGGAACACTGCCGGAAAAATCAAAAACCACTTGATTGTATACGTTTCGCGTCATACCGGCATTAGTCACCTGGCACTTTCGTGCACTAAGTACGGTTACCCCCAAAGCCCGGGAGCTCTTGAAATTTATCTCGTCGGATAGTAAATTTTCCTGGCTTTCCGAATTTCTTTTTTAGGTCCTTCGACTCCTTCCGGAACACTGCCGGAAAAATCGAAAACCACGCGCGCGTATACGTTTCGCGCCCTACCGGCATTGTTCACCAGACGCGCGTATACGTTTCACGTCATGCCGCCATTAGTCACCTGGCACTTTCGTGCACTATGTACGGTTACTTAAAAAGTCAGGGAGCTCTTGAAATTTATCTCGTCGGATAGTAAATTTTCCTGGCTTTCCGAATATCTATGTTAGGTCCTTCGACTCCTTCCGGAACACTGCCGGAAAAATCAAAAACCACGCGATTGTATACGTTTCGCGTCATACCGGCATTAGTCACCTGGCACATTCGTGCACTAAGTACGTTTACTTAAAAAGTCAGGGAGCTCTTGAAATTTATCTCGTCGGATAGTAAATTTTCCTGGCTTTCCGAATATCTATGTTAGGTCCTTCGACTCCTTCCGGAACACTGCCGGAAAAATCAAAAACCACTTGATTGTATACGTTTCGCGTCATACCGGCATTAGTCACCTGGCACTTTCGTGCACTAAGTACGGTTACCCCCAAAGCCCGGGAGCTCTTGAAATTTATCTCGTCGGATAGTAAATTTTCCTGGCTTTCCGAATTTCTTTTTTAGGTCCTTCGACTCCTTCCGGAACACTGCCGGAAAAATCAAAAACCACTTGATTGTATACGTTTCGCGTCATACCGGCATTAGTCACCTGGCACTTTCGTGCACTAAGTACGGTTACCCCCAAAGCCCGGGAGCTCTTGAAATTTATCTCGTCGGATAGTAAATTTTCCTGGCTTTCCGAATATCTATGTTAGGTCCTTCGACTCCTTCCGGAACACTGCCGGAAAAATCAAAACCCATGCGCGCGTATAAGTTTCGCGTCGTATGGCTGTCGTGTATAGCGCTATGTCCTGGCTTCGCGGCGTCATTTTATAATACCATGAAGTTTAGGTGACCTTATAATATTTCGTGAAGAATCCTTTACTGCTATCTTGTGGTTAGAAATAGAAGTAGAACATACAAACGGCAATATAAACATTGTGCGCCTAGAAAATACCGTAATGCAACCGAGCATACAAGTTTTCTTATCACCAAAAATTGGTCACCTAGCTTTGGTCACCCAACTTCACACGCGTGAATATTGCCTTAGGGCCGTTCTTACAATGTCCGGTTAAAGTTAACCGACACTTAACCGGCCGAATTCTGCCGGTAATAAAATCTGTTATCAGTCGGTTAGCGTTAACCGACACTTTACCGGACATGGTAAGAACGGCTTGGTAAAAACAGTTAAATATTATGGCATGAATGAAAGATGGAATAATAGGTTTTATTAAAAAAAAATATTTATAACAATAATACAACTTGAAATGGCATAATAATGTTAATGGTATATAAGTATTTAGTAGGTACCTAGGTGAAAATAAATAATAATTGAAATCGAATTAAAAACTAAAATTGGAAACTATACTACCTATAACTATTCATTGTAACATTATGGTACAAGTGTACAAAAAACCAAACCACGTCCTTGCAGTTTTGTATCTTATTGAAATTTGAACTACAGAAATATTCTATAGTTAGATAGTTCTAATATTATAAAATAATATTATAATAATATTATATTATTAAATTCAATACTTATAAATCAAACAGGGATAAAGTATTTCAAAAATATATACCTATTACTATTAGCATAGATTAGCCAAGCAAAGTTCAAAAACTGTTCTTGTTATAACTTATAAGATTCATACTTATATAGACTACAAGATTTAAAAACAATAGTAATGTAAAATGTGAAGTTCAACCTAAAAAAATACACCAACGTTATTTGCAATTTTTTTATGATACGTTTGTTGTTTATTTTTAATCGTTAATTATAATATATTATTATGTTTAATGATAATATTAGACTATTATCGTTTATTGATTTCGTTTATTTTTGTTTCATTATTGTAAGTTATAAGTTATAACGTTATATCATTTTGAAATAACATTTTAACTTTTAAGCCCTGCTTTATGGATTCTAAGGAATAATAATCAATCTAATATTAAAATCTGAATTCTTAAAAGGTTTCCTCGATTAGTAGGTATTTTAGATTCTTGGAGCAATGAATGTATTGATTTTACAATTATGTGTGCTATTTCTTCTGTCTGTAAACACTTTTTCTAGTAGAAATAATGCTTCGATTCTAAGTTTTTGAATTTATTGTTCTGATGGGAAAATGAATCTAGTTGGTACCTACTTTTAACATTTGAGAGGTCAAAATTTGAAAATTCACAACAGTTTTTAAAAGAGTAACTAAAAATTACACAAACCTAACGGTGACTTTTACACAAATGTAGCTAATACAGCTTCTTTAATGTAACTAAAAAACTAAAAATCAAACTGTAGACTCTATACATTTTCACCGGATATTCATACTACCATTTTCTATACACCATTAATGTCTCTCTATTATGGAGCTCTATAAAGCCTATAGGTATAAGAAAAATGTTCGTTTGGTCTAAATAATTGAAAATTTAATTCAAGGTCCCTCGTAAGATGTTTAAATGTTTTTAATGAAAATTGAAAAAAAAAGTTGGGTGCAAATCTACAATAATTTTTACGAGCGTCTGAAGCTTTAAAAATTTGAGAATATTTGTCAAACCATCACATTTTTCAAATTATTTTGGGCTGGAAATTCATAAAAACTGTTCTATTTACCTCCAAGATTTTTAAATTTAAAAAAAATGATTCATTATAAGTATTCCTAACATTTACAAAAAAAAATTGGTTTTTAGAAATGATTGAAGTGATTTAATTTTCTATACATGATAAAATCATTGTGCTATTTATAAACATAAAACATTGTCAATTCTTGATGTTTTTTTTTGGTTTTTTTTCTATAAAATATGTCAATAAACCATTTTTCTTTGGATAAAAAAACTTGAAAATCTAATACAAAGTTTTTCATAACTC